TCTGCCGAGATCTGGCTGCCGACGTCCAACCGCGGTTAACACCACAAGAGTCGGCGCAAAGTCGGGCCAATATTGTCTGCCAAGTCTCGATGCCAGCTTTGCCAATACTGGGCCAGTGTTGGGCCGCGTTGGTTTTCGCACTTGGGAATATTCAATTTTACGAAATTTCAATTATTCGTAAATTCTTCAATTAAATAAATTTTTTAAATAATTGGATTCTTTTGAAGAGTTTTAATAAAATTTTTAAGAATAATATATTACTTTTCCAAAATTAATTTTTTTTTTCGTGTTTTAAACTAAACTTCTTTTATAATTCCATTATTTTTAATAACTTTTGATAAAGTTCTTTGAGAGTTTTCAAATTCATTTGTTTACAATTCAATTTTACAAAATTTCAATTATTCGTAAATTCTTCAATTAAATATAGGTATACTAGAAAATAAAAACTTTAAATAATTACAAAAAACATCCTCAATTAAACTTTCTCAAAAAAATTTATTCCACAGAATTGTTAGTTAAAAATATGAAAAATTCAAATTTTGAAAGATATTAATTTGAAACCTTTTTAAAATTCAATTATTTCTAAAAATTTACGCTCTAATGCTTTTAATATTCAATTATAATCTAAAATTTTAACTGAAATCCATTTTTAAATCAATGTTTATAAGAAAATTCTACTAGAATTCAATTATTTAAATACAAAAATAAATAATTTATTGAATGTTTCTTAAAATTGAATTCTTATAAAGAATTTTATCTATAAATTTTTAAATAACTGAATTCTTTTTATGAATTTTTAAAAAAATTTTAAGAATAATTAGTTTTTGAGGAATTCGATTAAAATTGTATTAACCCCTTAACTGTTTGAGGAAGATACAACATGATTGTTCCAAAAACAAAATACCCAGCGGAATCTGATACTTTTTCAAATTGTATAATATATTTAAATTATAACTAGTTATTCAATTATTGTAAAAAATATCATTAATGACCCTTATAATGTCTTATAATATTGATATAAAGAAAAATGTCTATCAATTTATATACAAATTATATTTATTTTGAGTGAAAATGAACACGACCCACGGGTGGGTCGGAAACAGTTATGGCCAAATTTTTTCACGACCCACCCGTGGGTCGGAAACAGGCAACGGGTTAAAAATAATTAAAATTTTGCAATCTGTTTTATTATTTATGAAAATAATTTAATTCCTAAAAAGAATTTTATTATTTACGAAAATAATTGAATCCTTGTAAAAATTTTATTAATTATGGAAATAATTGAAGATTGCGAAGAAATTTATAAAAAAAATTGTATATAATGAAATTCCTGTGAAATTTCTATTATTTTTTGAAAATAATTAAAAGTTTGTGTAGAATTTTATTAATTTTTTTTTAAATAATCTAATTCTTTTGAAAAATTTTATTAAAATAGTAGATACCTATATTAGATACCTATTCAAAATCGTTGAATTGAGGAAAATTTTTGCAAATAATTGAATTTTGGAGAAGAATTTAACCCTTTCGCGCTTCCGGTACATATATTTAATAAAACTCTTATAATTTTAAACCTATTAACAGTATTAACAATTAATATATCATTTTTAATCACCAACGTAACTACACTGAGAAAATATTTTGTTTAAAATTTTGTCAGTTGGTTAAAATGGCTACACATGGGCATTTTGAAAATGTTTAATATTTTCTTATGTGGTTATTGAAATACATTTTTGAAAGAGTGTTTAATGAGTAATGTAAAGATTATTAGATCATTGATCATAAATTGATTTATTTTTTGTAACACTTTATGCTGTACTTGCGGTTATATAGTTGCCTGCGTGTGTTACAGTTTTGCCCAAAAGTTGGGTAAAATGAAGATCCTGACCTCTTGACAGTATAGTTACCTGGTGGAACCATCAGTTTACCCAACTTTTGGGCAAACTGTGACACACGCAGGAAACTATGTAACCAAGTACAGCATAAAGTGTTACAAAAATTAAATCAATTTATGATCATTGATCTAATGATCTTTACATTACTTATTGAACACTCTTTTAAAAATGTATTTCAATAACCACATAAGAAAATATTAAACATTTTCAGAATGCCCATATGTAGCCATTTTAACCAACTTTGACAAAATTTTAAACAAAACATTTTCTCAGTGTACTATATATAAAAAATAGGAATTTACATAGTACTATTATAATTATTATAATTATAAACAATAGGTAGAATATTGTTAAAAAAATATGAAAATTTAATTTTTCAAAATTTGCTCAAATTCGTTTAAGGGGGGGGGGGGTAAGGTCTAAACGGTGAAAAAAAGCATATAAGAATTTTTTTTGTCGATACGCAGAAATTTAATTTATTTTATCGATTTGCATATAATAGTGCAACATTTGAATAATATTTCTCTAAATTTTAATTAAAAAATATTAAGAATTGAGCGAGATAATAAGATTTTCCTCAGGCGCCTTAAAAAAAAATTAAAAGAGATGTTTTTTGAGGTAATTTTTTTTTATTTTTCGATTTTTTGTAGTATATTTGAAAGCCAAAAAGTCGATTTTCGCTATAAAAAAATCGATTAATTTGTTATTGTAAAATTAGTAATTTTTTTTAAAAAAAAGCTCCCAGCGTTACGTCAAAAAACATCTCCTTTGACAAATGCACTTTGATTTTTTTATTTGGATGATTCTGTTGCGAGTTAGAGCGTACACCGCAAATTAATTTTTTTTTGGAGTCGCCTGAGGATAATCTTATTATCTCTCTCAATTCTTAATATTTTTTAATTAAAATTTAGAGAAATATTGTTCAAATGTTGCAATATTATATGCAAAACGATAAAATAAATTAACTTTTTGCGTGTCGCCAAAAAAAAGATTCTTAAAAACATGCTTTTTTCACCGTTAAAACCTTACCCCCCTTAAAACTTCTTACTCAGGGGTTTTCGAGGTCGCTGATTACGAATCTACCCAAGTAGAAATGTCCGGAGTTAGGACGGAGTTAAACACCGACATGGTACTGACTCAGTACTGACCGTCGGTACTGACTTTCGGAACCCGATCAGTACTGGGAGTATACTGACTCCAAAACCGAATCAGTACTATGTCGGAGTTAGAAAAGTTCTAAAATCAGTACTGGCAGAAAACTGGCTTAACACTAAATCAGTACTGCGAAGGAGTTAAAAAAACAATCAAAATTTGTTATAATGTAATTAAACATTAAACATCGTTTGATTTATTAACAATTAAAATATTTGCAAAGATTTGTAAAAACATTATTCATCAACAATAATATCAAACATTTTATTAATTTATTATTAACTAATAGATATATTTTAATAATATAATAATAAATTATTATTAATTAATTATTTTTAGAATTATTACGTATTATTAATAATAATAAAAAATTTTATTTTTTAAAGCTGTATATATATTTTTATTTATTTATTTAACAAAAATTTTTCTTAAATAAATTTTTTTTTATTATTATTTTAATAAATAATTAGATTATAAATAATAAATAAATAATTATATTAATAATTTTTACCATATTATTATGATGTATCTATTAATTACTACATAATGACTTAATAAAATGTATATAAAGATATATGTATAATAATTTTTCTTGAAATAAATATAATATGCAGTGGATTTATTATTAAAGCACTGTATATATCGGTCCCACAATTCAAAAGGAAGTTTATGCGAGATAACTCCCGAGCTTGCGTGGCTATGCGGTATGTGTATTCGACTTGCGTCCTCGAGGTCTAGGGTTCGGTCCCCCGTGCGTGCGATATTTTTCCGTCTTAGTTTTAAGTGTTTTGTGTATAATTCTTAACAGTGTTACATAAAGTATAAGTTTAAATAATTAATAACCAGTAATAATAATAATTTAGTCATTAATTTAAATAAATAAGATTTAAATAAATAATGAAAAAATAAGAAAAATATTTTTTTAAAACTTATTTTAATAAAAGGAATTCTAATAATTAATTAATAATAATTAATACTAATAATAATTATTAGTATTCAATAAATTACTCCCCATGCTTTAATAATTAAATAAGGAGCTTATACTGACCGCCGGTAAAAATCAGTACTGGACAGCGTTACCAGCCAGGGTTTTCCCAGTACTGACTTAGTACTGGAGTCAGTACTGCAATACTGGCAGTCAGTACAAGATCAGTACTATGCCAGTATTACATTTCTACTTGGGTAAAGTCAGATTTTCAAAATTTTCAAAATTCGAGTTGATGGACATTGTTTTTTAAAATTGCTCATATTAGCTTAAAATTTGTTACTCGGGGTTTTCAGGGTTGCCATTTGAATTTCGAAAATCTGACTTCAGATTCGTAATCAGCGACCCCAAAAAATCCCCGAGTAACAAGTTTCAATAAAATCCACTGTCTGTGTTTCCCGGGGGCACGAAAGGGTTAATTATTTCTAAAGATTTTTGAAATTTTGACGAGAATTTAAAAAAAATGGTGAACATAATTATAAATTTGTGCGATAAGAATTTTATTACTTTTGAAAATAATTGAATTTCTGCAATCATTTGTAATTTCTCTAAGATTGTCCAAATTATATTGAATAATTTACGAACTTTTCATCCTTTTTGAATCAAATTACGGACCTTTTTAAAAAAAACGGACTTTTATGGACTTGAAGCAAAGTTACGGACTTTTACGGGATTTACGGACCTAGTTTGAGCCCTGTTATTGCTGTTAATTAATAAATAATACATTTTTATGATTAAATAATTAATAAATAATTTAACAAAGAAAAAATAAATATGGAACTTTGGAGAAATATCAGTGCAGAGTGTTTGATAAAGAGACTGCGTTAGTGATGGAGTTTGTATGAATAAAAGTTGGAGTCTATTTATTTATATCTGAGGAGAATGACATTTTGCTGATAGAAAAGAAGCTCGATATGGACTTCTTCAGTGACTAATGCGTATATAAGAGTGTGTACGTGAATTGTACCAACCTTCGACAGTGAAGAAGCGTGACCATGACGACAGCGCCGATACCCGCTGACACTAGAGATACGATCACCAAGGTCAGGACCCATCCAAGTTCGCCAGGTGCCTCTGCAAAAAGGAAAAACATTACACTGCTTGAATGAGGAATCACATTGCAGTGGAGATGTTCTAATTCTCCTCGTTTCTCTTTTGTGCACCACCTTCTTCTCCGATTCGTTTTAACATTAAAACGTTAAGAATGCTCACACGCTACCATTCCTTGGAATTATATTCTCCTCCCTGGCAATTATTATCATTTATTATTTTTATTTTTTTATATGACAAGTCAAAATACAATCACAGGGAGAAAATAATTTCATTTACGTGAATATTAATTTTATATTTTCGCGCAAAAATTCTCTAAAAAAATAATATAAACATGCCAAAAAAGCAAGTTGTTTGCTCTCTCTCTTAATTACGAGAAAAGAAGCGCGAGATCTCACGTGGCTCGTTAAATACACATGAGAATCGGACAGAACTACATGAGAGAAGAGTATTGGATATTTAAAAGGAATTCTTGCACCTCCAATGGGCGAAAGAATATATATACAAGAAGAGAGGAAAATATAGTGTGGACGAGTTATAAAGCCAAGGGGATGCCCCGCTGAGAGAGCGCGAGGAGAGTTTCTTATCGTTAAGCCGCACGACCACGAGCCAATTACACGACGATTTTCTTTCTCGAATCAAAGTAGCAACATCTTGATCTTCCACGATACGCGCACTCAAAATTGCGAGACTTGAAACAGCAATTCCGTATATATACATATATACAATAATAATGGTGACTACATAACCATTTCATGCGTACCGTTAAATTCACAAATTATATCAAATATATATCTTTTCCCCTAAAAATTCCACTGGTAATTTTTTAAAATACGCAATTAAAATAAAATTTGCACCTACTACTACTATACCCCCGCATATTATATGTTCATTCATAATATCCCAAGAGAGATTATACAATATATGCAGATAAGATATAAATATTTCCAAAGGGGCATCGACAAAATTTTCTCATGTCGAATGATAAATGCAACCATGCATGAAGAACGTGTATTAATAGATAAAATTGTTTTGATCCATTTAAATCTATTTCAATCATATATATATATATATATATATATATATATATATATATATATATATATATATATTCAAAACTATTAATGGTGACAATATGCAATCAATCTTTATCAAAAAGTTGATTTAAAAATGGTGAAAGGAGCTGCGTGAAAAATCTTGTCAGATGACTATTAGTCGTATTTAATTAGATCAGCATTTCATTATACATAAATATATGTAATGTGAATATTTTTATATATTCTGACTGCGAATAAATCCTAGCAAATAAATTCTTACAAAATATATCGACAAAACTATATCTACCCTAGTAGAAATTTGTCGTGGCATGACTAGATTTATTCAAGTTACTGTACAGTTTTAGTCATGGAAGTTTAATCTAGCTTAACTGGCGAATTACTAGACAGCTACTGCATAACACTGTTAAAGAAAATATAAAGTTGAACTTGATTATTACTGCATAGAAGTCCTGTACAGTTATTTTCATGGCACTGTCGAGGCGTTCCGAGAAATGATGTTCCAAAGTTTGTCGTGGCGTTAGCGCTACCGCCAGTTTCAGTAACTAAACAGTTGTGTATTGACATTTTCGAAATATTTTCTATAAAATAAATCTTTTGGTTTTACAGTTTATAGTTTTTATAATTTTAATTTTGTTCTTTTATTTTACTGTTGACAACTAAATAACAAATTTTTTAAATTATTTAATATTAAAATTTTGATTTAATAATAAAAATTTCTTTTCAATCAAAATTTATTTTTAATGAAAATTCCTTTAGAAAAAAAAAATTTTTTTAAAATTCGTTTCAATTAATTGAGTTAATTAAAATAACTAATTTTTTAAATTCAGAAGACAATTTCTTTTCAAGATTATATACTCTTATTATATGTATAAATATTAATTTAACAAACCTGTTACATACAAAAAGTTAGAATTGGTCCAATAAAGTGAGGTTATGTTTTACATTGATGAATTGACGTTGACATATGTATAGCTCTCCGATCTGAATAACAGAACTGTCTATAATTAATGACAGTAGACAGTAACAATTTATTACTAATTCCTTACGGAAAAAATAGACATAATTCTAGTTACACCCGCGAATTATTTCTTTCAGTGTATACTCTGATGTATTTATGGAAAATGTCTACACAACACTGTTCAGTTGCTGGACTGACGGTAGCGCTAACGCCACGACAAACTTTGAAACATAATTTCACGGAACGCCTAGACAGTACCATGAGAATAACTGGACAGACAGAACTTCTATACAGTAATAATCAATAAGTTCAACTTTAGAGTGTTATGCAGTAGCTGTCCAGTAATTCGCCAGTTGAGCTAGAAAAGATGAAAAAGGGAACTGCTTTACCTGCCGGTAGAGTATGGTTCTTATTTTTCCGGAATCGTCCATCGACTAGAACGGCCGTGATGCGTAAAGCGTGCGTTTAGGTATTTCGTCCCAGTGTGACCCGAGTTCGCTCCCCGAAACCGCTAGATATTTTTCGTTTGAACTGAATTAATTCTTCATATTAGGGTTTACTTATAAGTTTGTAGTGTGATAAAATAATAATATTTATTTCAGTGTTGTGCTTAATTAAAGGAAAAAGTGAATGTTGTTTAATGTAAAAAAATGACATGTGTTCAAGAATCAGTAATTTTTATATTTTTTTTTAATTATGTAGTTATTTAAAAATAATTTTACAGATAATTTATTATAAATCATTTATTATACGGAACAATAGATACACCAACAGTAAAAATATAGTTTCGTAAAATTTTAATTTATTTAATTTGTTGACAAAAAAATTTAACGTTATATTTTCAAATTTGTACGTGTTTAATACGTAACGTCAATATAAAGAAAGTTTTGACATTTCCAAGTGAATTATTTTGTATAGTTTTTCTACAGGACTGATGATCAGAAACTGTAAAATTTGACTGGACAATAACTTGAAGAAATTAGCGTGACATCACTTTATAGTTTTTAGCCAGTTTAACTGTAAAGTGCCTCGAAATTTTCCAGTGGAACTGTCCAGTGCCCTTAAAGATACTATGACAAATTTCTACTAGGGTATAAGTATAGAAACTTGTTAGAAAGCAAGTCTCATTTTTTCCCTCTCAATGGCGTCGTTTTGAAATATTAAAAGTTTACTTTGGAACAATGAAAATTTGGAAAATATTTGAATTTTAGAAAAATTTCGAATTGAATAAGTTATTACCAGGAGAAGAAAGAAAGTGAATATTTTTTTATGTAAATCAAGGAATTACTTAATCACATTTTTGATGAAACTAAAACGAGTTGAAATTTAATTTTTGGATATAGGATACTTTTTTACTACTTTTTTCAGTCTCAAAGATACTTTTTGCTTCTTTTTTTAAAATAATTATCCAGAACGAAGCCTGTAATATTAATAATAATAAAAATAATAATGATAATAATAATAATAACAGGATAGCCACAGGTCAGAGAAATCAGGGAAAAGTCAGGAATTTTTATTAATCATGGATTTATAGAAGAATTTTAGTTAAGAATACTAGAAAATAGTATCTAATAGATGTATCTAATACTATTCTAATAATATTTTCCAAAAGAATTTTAATTATTTAAAAAAAATTAATAAAATTCTACACAAACTTTTAACTATTTTCAAAAAACAATCAACATTTCACAGGAATTTATTATTTACAATTTTCTTTATAAATTTCTTCGCAATCTTCAATTATTTTTATAATTAATAAAATTTTTATAAGGATTCAATTATTTTCGTAAATAATAAAATTCTTTTTAGGAATTCAATTATTTTCATAAATAATAAAACAGATTGCAAAGTTTCAATTATTTTTAATACAATTTTAATCAAATTCCTCAAAGACTAATTATTCTTAAAAGTTTTATTAAAATTCACAAAAAGAATTCAGTTATTTAAAAATTTATAGATAAAATTCTTTATGAGAATTCAATTTAGGAAACATGTAATTATTCAATAAATTATTTATTTTTGTATTTAAATAATTTAATTCTAATAGAATTTTCTTATAAACATTGATTTAAAAATGGATTTCAGTTAAAATTTTAGATTATTTTGTAGTCCTGATGAGCCATGTTCTATGGTAAAAATGCATTTTAAAATAAATATTGAATTTATATACTAAAGAAACTACATCTTCTTGGACCAAAGGCCACAAAATTATCCACTTTATTATTTATAAAATTAAGGTCCTTTCAAAAACTTCAATTATTTAGATTATAATTGAATATTAAAAGCATTAGAGCGTACATTTTTAGAAATTGTAATTGTGTTTTGAAAAAGTTTACTTAAATTTTTTTTGAAATTATTTTAAGTTTTTATTTTCTAAATAGTTATATAATTATAATTTTGTAAAATTGAATTGTAAACAAATAGATTTGAAAATTATCTAGAAACTTTTGCAAAAAATTATTAAAAATAATTGACAATTGTTCATTTATTTCTTTCGAAGAATTTTAATAAAATTTTTTTAATTAATGACATTTTTCGAAGAATTTACTAAATATTATATTAAAAATAATTGAAATCCTGAGAATAATTTTATTATTTAAGAGAATAATTGAATTTTTACAACTAATTTTTATTACATTTTTTTAAATAATTGAATTTTTTTGAAAAATTTTATTCAAATAGTAGGTAGATTTTAAAAATATTTGAATTTCAGCGAAGAATTTCATTGTTTGTGAAATTTAATTGAATTCTTGCAAAAAATGTTAGAAAATAATTACATTTTTTGAGGAATTAATTTAAAATTGTATTAAAAATAATTTAAAACCTACCAAAAGATCCCGAAAAATTGCGTGACATCATTTGTGAACGCTCCCTAATTGAATCAATGTAAAATAATTTATTTTTTTTAAAAACATTTTATGGAAATTTAAATTATTATAAAACATGAAGACAGCGATCACTCCGAGTCGAAGACACAATTAGAGAAATATGTAAATAAATGTAGGGTA